GGGAATTATCCGATTATGACTTTTTGAGTAGCGATTTCGGCTACCCATCTTCAGACCTGAGAAAATGCTGTGCGCAGTCTTCAGTGTACAGCAATCCCTCGCAACATCGAGCTTCGACCTCCGGGGCATCACTCTATCGTGAATCTTATACGCAAGCATATCTGAATGCACATGTCGCGGATTTCTGCGGACAGAAAGCCTTATTTTGTGTTTCTAGTACATGTTTGTTCGGCTGCTCTAGCCAGTTGCCTTCATACAGGGGACCCTATTGGCGGACGGCTGAGAACCTATTCAATCAGAACACGCAGTTACGTATTGTGGTTTTGGCGAAACTTGCCTAATACCTAAAAGAGCACAAAGAGATTATGCTGTGTAACCGTGTGATGACGGTATATAAGAATAAGGGAGGGTTTTTAAAGGCTTGCAGCACCTCAAATGATATTAAGCCTTCTGCCTCTGGTACCCAGGCAGCGCCAGGAATCATGTGATCACGGCTCCCGCGCGCCGGAACATGAGCACATTCAACCCTGAGGATAACCAATCATAGATGTGGATAAGCAATCACCTCGTCATATGACACTGACTAATTCTCGCATGACGCTTATTCACTCACGCTCATGTCACCCTATCGAGAATGGGCCGTGATTATTGTGGCGCTCCGAGTACACGTACCACTCTAGGCGCTACATGCTTAACACATACTTTGGGGATTTTTCTTTTTCGCGGCCCGGCGGAGAGGGCGTTCTGGAACACAACGTCCGCACAATCACTGTATTGCGCATTGTCGCCACTGTCAACTAGAGCGGATGAGAAACAGTCTTGGATTTGCCTCCACATCGACAGTGATGACCCACGCATCAGGCGAGATGCGTGCATATAACGAGCGCTACTCACATGAATATCCAGTCTCTGAAGTTGGATGGCCAAAACCACTACCCGAAAATTCAAAGACCTTCCTTGCAAAGAAGCATAGCGCGAGATACCTCGTGACGTCTTTTTGCAAGAATTTGCCCTTCATGGATGTTAGAAAGGGGACCGAGTCCCGTCAAATCAGTCACGACTTGAGATCTAACCCCGTGTCTCTTGTCGCTTGTTTTGACACCCAGAAAACTCTGTGTTTCACCGAAATGGTTGGTTAATCCCGAAACTGCTCCAGACCAGGTAAATGATTCGATGAGCTTTTTATCGTGGTAGTGGGTGCTTCAACCCCGCGACTAGGCGCTGGTTGGTTCTCTGTAGTTTGTGTGCAACCCTAGGACAGCAAAGGCGCGAGCAGGTGATCGAGAACTTCCGATGTGTTTGTAGTGACCCTACACCCAGGCGCCTCCTCCGCGTACCTGCACGTGCCCACCCGTGGCAGGCTGGCTCGCGACCAATCAACTTCAAGGCCGACGTACACACGCCCTCGCCTAGGGCGCTCTGACGCCTGCCCGGAGGCGTTCAGGGGCATGCCCTGCCAACTCGTTCCAATCTATTTTCACTCCATTCTGTACAGAGGAAAATGCGTAAGTGAAGATGAAGGGTGGTCGAGCACCGGAAAATTGTGTTTATTTTTCTGACCTTCCGAACTCCTGCAGGAGTCTATCCTCAGAGATAGTAGCGGCAACAGAACAAGCGACAGTTATATGGCATGTAGGTCAATCATCGACTGACGGCGCAAGAATGGAAGTGACTGGGACTCTGTACGCCGGCGCCAGATCGATAAATCTATCGATTGGGTTCTTATCCAGGGCCCAGGCTTCAATCGACCATAAAGCATCTTTTCGAGTACTTGTCTGAGCGCATACAACTCGAACCTTGCGTTATTTGGAAGCAGCTTACATACGGAGGGAGAAACCAGACCTGTGCAAGCAGTTAGATCACGTGATCAATCTGCAATTGCCCTGGTAATCTCACGCCTCTAGTTTCCCCTGACTGTGATTTGTTGTTAGCATTTCGTCTCCCTCTTTCCTCTATGATGCTTATGTGGACGTCTTATCTGATTATTGATTATTTTGAATTTTGACCTTGCTCTTATGCACTGCCATTCTGTACAAATTCATACTGCTGTGCGCTTTCATTCGTTACCTATGTTATGTAGAGACGGGCTGCAGTTGAAAAGTCGTCACGAAATTTATTGGCCCCAATAAATTCTGCTGTACATGCTTGTTTTCACTTCAATCAATTCTCGGCCTGCTTTGTTTCCGGCGTGGGCGACCATTTTGGCGGCTGCGAAGTTAAACCCATGACCGATTCCGTAAGTGTGGGCGGCCACTTGTGATAATGCATCGCCGGCTTACGTTCGTTCATGCGCGATCCGAGCACGCGTCCAGTCTGGCCCGTGTAGTTACAAGGACAGTTTCGGCACGAGATGCGATACACTACTTCAGGTTGTTCCTCAGGCTTTAACCCGGTCCTTAATTTTCATGACCCTATTGCACATTTGATGTTGTATCCAGCTGGTCAACGCTTGGAATTCTCCACGCCCTCCTCGCAAGTGCTTCCACATTTGGCCCCTGTTGACATTCCCCTTCCCCATTTTGTAACCATCTTTCGAGTGTGATCGGCGTTCTTTTAATTAACTAGTTTTGTATTCTGACCTTGAGCTGGGAATTCGATTTGCTCGAACAGTAACAAATGAATTCTTTGTCTAGGGTATCCATTGTTGAGGTTTGTACGTTTTTCATTATTACCTTATTCTATCAATAGTACCGTATATACACCGAAATCTGTTTTGGCTTATTCGCGTCACTCGTCTGGCAAGGAATTCTACATGTGGCTTTGGGCGGCGTGCGATTCCGACACTTACCTCCGAGGCAATGCGTTCGGTTGCTTCTGAAACGTCCCTAACGTGTATGGCAGAGAATGCCACATCGTCGGTGGTGTTGATGTTTGGGTCCTCTGGGGGCTACCGCGTAGGCAGCGACTTATGAATGTCCTCGGATAGCCATTTTGCACAAACTGGTCGCGGAGATAACGGACCTCACGCGCTCTTTCCTCCGGTTTGCTGAGATGAGTATGGTTCCGTTTGAAGAGCGTCTCGAGAGTGAGTCCGTATTAGCGGGCGAGTAAAAATCGTCTTACAGCGCTCAAATTCTCTTCTTATTAACTGCTATCGGGAACTCGCCTTTTCCCAAGTAGTCACCATCTTCATACCAGCTGGCTTAACTTCCGGACTTCACTGCGGTACCCTGTCCGCAAACTTTAAAGGGAGACGATAACATATTAATACGAATGCGAGGAGACTGTTGGATAACGGAAGGTTATGTCCTCGAGAACCCAGTGAGACATGTCGGTTTACTGACTCCCTCAAGGTGTCAAACAACTACTTCAACGCGCCGTTTTGAGCTTTTCAGGAACTAAACAGGCCCGTCAGTTGGCAACCTTCCAAGCCACGGCTTTTAGCGCACCGCGATAGCTTCACGCGCGTCAGATTGTTTATAGTGAGGAGGAAAATGCGCTAGGTCGTCGACCTCACTCTCCCTTTTTCATCCCCGTGCCTCAACCACTGTCCGAGCCGGTCAGCTGACAGGTTCAGGGAATGAACGCGGTGGCACGACCTGGCCCCCCAACCACAAACACCATGATTTTACAAAACGGGGGCTTGGCCGCATACATCCCACATGCGTGGGAGTGCCGTAGGTGACGTTAAGAAGGAGCCGTTTTGGCCTGGCTCTCAGCCCACCAGTCTACCATTCCACCAGACCGATGTGTGCGGTGGAAGTGTGGTCGTAATGAGGACGGGTAGAGACTGACACCACATCGCTGGTGTTGAAGGTAGTGAGGTTGATGTTTCTTGGTGTGTCAGTGATGGGGGGTACAGGAGCAGCCGCCGCAGCGGATGCTGAGGCGATGGAGGGGGGTGGTACTGGGGGTTCAGGAGAACGGTCAGTATCGATCGTCGACGTGAGGAGTGAGGCGGAAGTGGACGGGGGAAACCGGGTGGCGTCGTTCGGGTGTTTCATTTGGAACAAAAATGGCCAATAAGACCGATTGTTGCCCAGACCGTCCGCTGACATCGTGGGCAAGTCGGGGGCGGTTGGGCACTGGCGTTCCGAGGTGGAATCAGTTGAAATTTCTGAGTCTCGTGTTTAGTCTTGAAGGCAATGATGCGGTTGGCGTCGTAGACTGCTGTGTTTGTCTTCACTGCCCTCCTCTAGGTCGGTCGGTCCTGAGCGAGGTCTGTGAGGTGTGAGTGTGCATGTCTGTACTCAGAGCGCTGTAGCGGGCAGCCGTTCAAGACCTCGCTGCCTCAAGGTCATTCTCAGTGAGCCGTTCCAGACGCACTGGCCTAAAGCCGCTCGACCGACTTCAGCTCGAGCAAGATTGCGTCCGCACAGAGTCGCAGCTGCCCATGGGCCACTTGAACGCGCCACCGTCCTGCAACCAACAACATAAGCCACGGGGACACCACCCCTCGGCAAATGCAACACACACTGACTGGACACCACTTGAGCTTGGCCCACGAGCCTACAAAAGCGGCTGCCACCACTATCTCAGGGACTCTCCGGCATGAGTGGACGCAGTCAACACCAGCCCTGGTTTCGCCAGAGGGCGCTGCCGCCTGAGAGGACAACTCCGGGTTCTGTGCACAATAAATCCCTCATTCTGGTGCCTTCCGTCTTTTCCTTCCAACACTTGGATTATGGTAACGCTCAGACTGCACACACTCTCAGCGCCTATCCTCCAACAGCGCTACTATCTTCAGGGTGAATCGCAGTGTTGGAAGAAGAAGACAAAAGGCCGAGATAGTGTAGTGAATAGGCGGCGCGAGTAAGTGCTGTGAGCGCTACAACCACCAGGCCAATCCCCAAGTTGAAAGGAGAAGACGGAAGGCACCAGAATGAGGGGTTTATTGTGCACAGAACCCGCGCTTGTCCTCTCAGGCGGCAGTGGTCACTGGCGAAGCCAGGCCTGGTGTTGTCTGCGTCCAGTCATGTTGGGAGTCCCCTGGACAGTGGTGGCAGCCGCTTTTGTAGGCTCGTGGGCCAAGCTTAAGTGGTGTCCCAGTGGATTGATTTGTTGGTTGCAGAGGGTGGCGCGTTCAAGTGAGACATGGGCAACTGCGACTCTGTGCGGTCGTGTGACTTCAGGTCAGCGCGTCTGGAACGGCTCACTGCAAAGGGGTGGATGACCTTGAGGCAGCGAGGTCTCGAACAAGGACGCCAGGCCGGTCATGATGGCTGCCCACTACAGGTCTTCCCAGTTGTCCGGTTCGATTTGCAGGAGCTTCCGGAAAGTTTTTAGTGTCCTTGTAGCGCCTGACTTGACCTCCTTATCGGTGGGAACCCGTGGCAAAATCTCCGTAGAAGAGCCGTTTGGGTAGACGCTCGTCGTCCATGCACACAAGATGGCCGCTCCAGTGCAGGTGAAATTGTCTCAGCATGGTGCCGATACTGAGGATTCCCGTCTGGGTGTAATAACCCCACAAGCTCTAATTTTTTAGCGAGTGGTTCGGAGGAAAAACTTCGTGGTCCTCAGTCAGCCGTTGCCGAGTGACATCAAGATAACTACGGGCGAGCTGAATGATTCCAAAACTAATCGGCGTGTGTCTTCGGTTTTCAGTGGTTGGTTAAGAGATTAACAAAGAAGGTATCACAGGGTTTACACACAGTTAGTTTTCGAACTCATCAAATGTGTTGGAATCTACGAAGCATAGATAATTATCCGCAAACCGGCAAAAAGGAACGGATCAATGCTTTTTAGTGATAAACGACTTTAAGCCAATGGAAAGCACAAAAGAAATATGAAGATTACTACTACTAAGTTTTCGGAAACTCAGTAAATTCTGAAAACGTCAAAAATCGCTGCAACTGAGTAAACTTAAGTTTTGGGTGTACATAAGGCCCGTCCGCTGAAAAAAAAAAACGAGTAAATAAAACCACATGAGTGGGGTAACGTTTGAAGAGTCGTTTAGTGAAGTTTGTAATTAAATAACCCTCATAAATAAGAGTAGTTTCAAGAGAATTGTCAGGTACAAACGCAGACATGCCACTTTGAGCATATTTAGAGAACTTTCCTTCCATCAGATTTCCTTATAGTAATTTCTGGTGAACGGACCACGATGAACTTCAGACCGTCCTTGAAAGAACAGTGAATACTTCATCAGTTTCGGTGTTTTCAGTCAATTGCCAATAAATGTTGATTATTTGCTTTGTGCTTATTAAAACCTTCAAAATAAGATATTTCATGAAAGCTTTTATCGGATTGGTGAGTTCTTGGGCATTCTGTATAATGCAGATTGCCGTTGGGGTTCCATTTGTAGACTCATCCTGACGTTAAATTCCATCTCCGAGAAAAACGAATGTCCATTACGAGAGTTAGCAATGAATGTGTCTTAGATCAATTAAGAAATTTTCCCTGCACGTTACCTATTTAAAAGCGCTTTAATTAGGTATTTCGTTGACGGATGTTTGAGTACTTTACTTTCTTCCAAAGATAATTTAAGTTGAAAATATGGACGTTTGGTTGGCTTTTTAACCTCCCTGAAAATCAGTGATAATTGTCTTGCTGCGAATAAAAGAACACCTTTGCTCTTTATATTAGAGCCATATTCGTTATATTTGCTTAAGTTGCGGTTCCGTTCTACGATGATAAATGCATAACAAAGTGACGACATGAATAGTATAAGATATTACTAAGGCAGTTAATATTCTGTTCGTTCCACTTCTCGCCTGCACACGGAACAGTCCATGGCCCCACAACAACCGGGCGAAGTCGGTCTTGTTTGAAAGGATGGGAACTAAAACCGCGCCGGCGTTTCCTGCGGAAAAGCTGTTGTGATGCGTAGACAG